CCACAGAGAGCCTGCGGGGAGCCAGGCCTCACGCTTTCCCGAGAAAGCTCCCGTGGGCTCTGGGAGGCCTGGGGACTGAGGGCAGTCACGGGGTGGCCCTGTCAGTCGGCCCCGCGGGTTTGGCTGCAGATCCTCCTCCCGCTCCCCTAGGACGAGAGCCAACAATGGGGTCATGGAGTCCTGGGGAATCCCTCGGATAGAGGAGCATTCCTGTCACCACTGACGACAACGCTTGCCTTCTGAGGGCACCCGGGAAGGTCAGGCCCCCGTGACCACCCTTCCGTGGCTGCACGTTTGTTCGTTCAGAGATGCGTGTGCCCCACAGGCCGCTGTGCACTGGGTGGGAAGAGGAGAGCAGCCGGCTTGGGGAATCTCCGCCAGGGCGCCCTGTCCCCCCCACATACACTGTGCTCGCCCAGCGGCTGATAACGGGGGAACCCTGCCTGCGACCACACCTCCATCGATCATCCGCCGTCGCTGGACACAGGTGTCACAGGAAGCTCCGGCAGAGAGAGATGGTGCCTGCGGCTGGGTATTCGGACAGAACGTGGGCCGAGCTGGAGTCATTCCTGCTCAAGTATCTGCTCTGGAGAGTCTGGGCTTGGAAAGTCCCCACTTGTGGGCCCCACGACCTACTTGTTGACGGGACCCTCCTCCACACAGGCTGGCAGGAGACCCCACCACCTGGCTCGTCTCCTGGGAGGGCCCTGGACATGACTCCCTGAGTTCTGAGGGCCCGCTCCGTCTGGGATGCCTGTGTGCAAACCTGGGCCCTTGGTGCTCATTTTAGTAAAATATCTTGGGGTTAGGCTGTGCTGTCTGAGGCTTCCTTCTTCTTCCTCCCCACAGTCTCTGAAGGTCAGAGTCTGCCCTCATTCCATCACTTGTCCTTTGGAATGTTCTTTGTTGTGGTTCATTCTGAAGATCCTGTTTCAGGGACGTGTGTTGTGTGAAAGTGTACAAGGTGTATGGACGTTGAGTGATATTTTCCGCCCACAAACACAAACTACAGAGGGATCCCCAGTTTGTAGGGCTCCTAATTTATTTACCTTAGTCTATCCCGATGTGCAATCTGTTAGCAGGACACTGACCAGATGCCGGTTCTCTCATGTTCCTTCCTAAAGCAGGGAAAGAGAGCCTCTAAGTCACTAGTCACACAACGCCCCTTGGGGTCTCCAGGACCAGCAGCTGGACATGACCACCCCCCCCATGATGCTTTCATGTCTCCTCCCGTGAGTTGAGGTGACCCCATCGGGGTCCATAGATCACAGTCGGCCCACATTCATTCACACTCACTGCTTTTTTCCTTTTTCAGTGAAATTGGGTGAAGTCATTAGGAATGTTTCAACCTTATAAAAAAAATGGGAAAATGCCCTAGAAAGCAGTGTAGAGAATATGTAGACACAGGGTTAGCCTTGTGACATTTTTGCTCCAGCTCAATTATAGAATAAAAACTCTATCAAGACATTCACATAGGATACAATTCACTCATTTGAAGTGTATGGTTTTATGGCTTTTAGCTTATTTATAGAATTTGTAGCCATTTCCACTATAAATTTTAGAACTTTTCATGAGCTCCGAAAGAAATCTTGCCCCCTGTCACTGTCGTTCTGTCCTGTCATCTGGGCCTCAGCCCTCCACACCTGCTCACCCCCCTCTGTCTCTAGAGACTCCTACATTCTGGACTTCGGTATGAATGGAATTATATGACATGTGGCCTTTCACTTAGAATAATGTTTCCCAGGTCTGCCCACATGTTTGCACGCACTACCAGTAGTATTCCATCCTGTGGAGGTACTACTAGTTGTCAAATCCATTCATTAGCTGATGAATGTTTGGGTCGTTTCTACCATTTGGCTAATATGAAAATTCTGCTGTGAACATTTGTGTGGAAGTTTTTGTGGGGACTCATGTTTCATTTCTAATGGCTGTATACCTAAAAGGGGAAAGCCTGGGTCATGTGGAATCTCTATATTCAGCCTTTTTTCAAGAACCGCCCAACTGTTTCAAAGTGGCTGCACCATTTTAAATGTTTCTGCTCACTGTGAACAGGTATTCCACTTTCCACATTCTAGCCAATGCTTGCTATCATCTGGGTTTTTTCTTTTTTAAGATTTATTTATTTACTTATTTATTTGAGAGAGAGAGAGAAGAGAGAGCACACAGGGGGAGGGGCAGAGGGAGAAGCAGACCCCCTGCTGAGCAGGAAGCCTGGATTCTATGACCCTGAGATCATGACCTGAGGCGAAACCAAGAATTGGACACTTAAACAACTGAGCCACTCAGGTGCCCCATCATCTTTTTTTTTTTATTATTCATTTATTTGACAGAGAGAGAGCACGAGCTGGGGGAGCACAGAGGGAGACGCAGCCTCCCCACTGAGCAGGGAGCCCAACACGGGACTCGAGGCCAGGACCCTGGGATCATGACCTGAGCTGAAGGCAGACGCTCACCCAACTGAGCCCCCCAGGCGCCCCCATCTGTCTTTTTGATAATGATCATCTTCGTGGTTCTGAAGTGACATCTCAGTGTGGTTTTGGATTGCATTTCCCTGATGCTGAGCATTTCATATGCTTATTGGCCATTTCTGTAACTTGTTTGGAGCAATGTGTCTTCATCCTATGCCCATTCTTCATTGATTTGTCCTTTATTATTGAGTTGTAAGAGTTCTTTATATATTCCAGATAAAATCTTTTTTTCACTGATTTTGACTACTTTAGATACTTCATATCTAAAAGCCCCAGCTTTCCTGGGTTTCTGCCTCCACTTCCCTGACAACTGGGCCCTGCTCTCAGGAGCCCACCTTTCTGTTGTAGTTATCTCGCCAGCAGGGAGCAACGGGTTTTGCCCCGCTGATCTATACCCTCAGGGCAGGTATTTGCAGCCTGGCTTGCCACAAACTGGGGACACTGTACACATGCAAGTCATGATTGCAGCTTGTGGACATGGAACCCCAGAAGGACAGATGGAGGCCCGGGGGACAGACACCCCAGCCTCGGGACAGGTACATTCTCCCAGGAGGGGCTTTCCAAGGTCCCCTTTGGTCCTTGACCCCTACAGAGGTGCTGGCAGGTGCTCTCTGCCCGCCGTGGGCTCTGTGCACGGGGGACCTACGGCTCCACCTGCCACTCTGTGAGAAACAGGGCTGAGGAGGCTTGCCCTCTCTAAGATCCACATTGAGGGGCCTCTTCTTAGACCGGGGACATAGAGGGGACCTGCACCTGATGTACAGACTCTTCCCTGGGCCTCATCCCTATAGTTGACCTGCATTCTTTTTTTTTTTTTTAAAGTTGTAACACTTTTTTTTTAAAGATTTTATTTATTTATTTGACAGAGAGAGACACAGCGAGAGAGGGAACACAAGCAGGGGGAGTGGGAGAGGGAGAAGCAGGCTTCCCGTGGAGCGGGGAGCCTGATGCGGGGCTCGATCCCGGGACCCCGGGATCATGATCTGAGCTGAAGGCAGTCGCTTAACCAACTGAGCCACCCAGGTGCCCCAGTTGACCTGCATTCTTGTTTCCCATCCGGCTGTCCCCACCTTCTGCCCCAGACACTGGAGGGCATCTCCACACCTGGGAAAAATGACATCTTGTCAAACTCACCAGCCCAGTGGTGTTGACCCCCAGGAGACCTTCAAGAGAGCAAGACCAAGACCTTTAAAGAGACTTAGTGTCCAGGAGCATGGGCTACAAGATGAGATGTGTTCCCACTGTTCTCTGATCCACAAAAAGGATTTCAATTTCTTTGGAATTGAAAGTTGCAAAGAACACCAAGAAATAATAGTTGAAGTGGATGACACATTCATGGAATCAGGGAAGTGACCACCATCCATGGGTTTGCAGAGGAGATATTCAGCCTAGGGGCAGCATGGCTGTGGCTCAGCTGAGAGAGAGGCAGGTGCTGGGAGACCTTTTGTACACAATAGTGAACAAGGCAACCTTGGCCAGTGACACCAGCAAAAGGCCGTCACAGCAAAGGCAGCAACCACCTGTCTTCTCTACCCACAACCAGGAATCGAAGCACTGGCTGAAGAAACAGTCTTGACAGTCAGTGAGACCCTGGATCCCCTGGGCTGAGTTCTCCACACAGTATGTTCTGTTTCTCCAAGAACAAGGCAAGGAACCACCATTTTCCAAATCACAGACTGCATATCCTAACAGAACAACCTTTACAAATGTGCTGCTCAAGAGGCTTTGTTTGAAGGGGATTGTTAGGTGGTGGGCTGAGAGCAATGTGTTCCAGGGAAGACTGGAGCCCTCTGGCCTGCAGGCAACCCTCTCATCAGGCAGGAGCAACTCTGTAGTAACTCATCGGGAAGCTGGGCAGTGTTCCCGGCACTGCCGTCATTCCTCGGAAGGCAGGGACACAAAGGGACATAGGCAGAAGTCAGCCTCGCTGAGAGCACAGAGCTGGCACTTGCTGTCCTTTCACCCCCACTGCCCGTGTGGCCGTGAGGGTGCCAGCTTCCTGCCTTCACGGAAGCTCCTGACAGCACACAACATCCGAGGTAATTTCCAGCATGGACTTCCCACAATTGGAGAAATCAGGAATGGTCTATGGAAGTCACTAAAAGTATTGTTTTAGGGCAAACCTGCTTGTTTTGCAAGATGTGCTTCCTAATCAATTTGGGTTAGGATGTCCTTTCTTCATGAAATGATGCTGGTGATGTTTGAAAAATAAAAGAGGGGCAACCTCATGAGAAATTATGTCTTTATCTGGGCGGGGGAGTCAGGGGTCATGATGAACATGTTGACTGTTGAAGTGGCAGAGGTCAGTGTTAACTTGTCCAAAACTGCTTCCCTGTGGACTAGCCTCCCTGAGCTTTCATGGACACTGCCCACAGCCAGGGCCCATGGCTGTCAAAGCTGGTAAGCCCTGCCTGATGGCTCAGCCATGGGCCTACCGAGCATTACTGCTGCAACCACAAGCTCAGAATCAGATGCTGACCAACAAGGGAGAGGCTGGTGCTCCCCTCACCCTGAGTGCTCACTAGATGCTCACTAGATCACGGTGCTAGTTCTAGTCCCTGCCAGCACAGGGCCTGGGATTCTCTGATCATACACTAGAAAGCACCAGAGCTTGACGGTTGGGCCCCTCTCCTGGATCCTGGATCCTGGATCCTGGATCTCTTCAGGATCCCTGTGTGCTGACCCAGAAAGCAAGTATAATGGGGACCCACAAACTCCCACTATTCCCCTGATAAACATGTCTCTGGAAGCCTAGAGTTTATATTTTCAGGGCATTCCCTTATGGTTACTCTAACAAGTACAAAAGACTGATCTGAACTACTATGTAAAATTAATGTTTGAAAATTGAAAATTCCAATGATATTTGAAGAATACATTTAAAGTAATTAAAATAAACATCATCGCATTTTACTCTACTATGTCCAAAGTATAAGCTTTAAATAATATAAACATGACAATAATAATAAGAAAGCCTACAAATATTTGAAAATTAAGATGCAAACTTCTAAATAATTCATGGTTAAAACAAGGATCTCAAAGAAATTTTAAAAAATATACAGAACTGGGCACCTGGGTGGCTCAGTTGGTTAAGCGACTGCCTTCAGCTCAGGTCATGATCCTGGAGTCCCAGGATCGAGTCCCGCATCAGGCTCCCT